CACACACAGACATATATATTTATTAGTTCTATGAAACATTGGCTCTAGCAATGCCAACACTAATTAAATTTGTTTACACCAGATAAAATGCTTTCTTCTCTTGCATCAGAACTTAAGTAGATGACAAAGTATTATTAGATGTGCAATGGACATGTGGATGGATAAAAATATTCAATGAGGAAGGACTATGTTTGTCTGGTCTCTCTTGGGACAGCACTGGCAGTTATTCCCTTGCCTGAGGCTTGGCTTCCATCAGATGTAACAATTCAATTTCTGGGAAGACAGTGACAGATGCCAATTTCAGGGAAGAGATTATATGTATACAGACTGTCACCTCCTCTGGTGTTCTGGGAAGGTGACTTCAGTCACTATTCTTTTTAAGTAGAGGTGAGAGAAACAAAGATCTGAGTTTACTACTTGTTATTTCTTGCCTTCACAGTATCATCTACCTGGTAAATGAACCACTCTCACCTCAAAAGCTAACACATGCTATCCAGGCTAAAAATTTTGATTGGGGTAGTAAGAGGATGAAGATTAAAAAAAAATTAAAAAACACCCAAAACTATTTAATAAATAGGTCCCAAAAGACACGGTGTTTGCTCATGCAAACTTTACTCATCTGGCAACACTGCCAAACTGAATGTAGCTGGGAACCACGAAGAAACCCCCACCAAAATGTTAGAGCAAGGAGAGGGAGTGAAGATGGCTAACCTTTGCTGAAAGTGTCTACTTTGGGCCAGATGCTATGATAGGCTCCACATACATAAATAAGCTCATTCATTCTGGAAAGGAACCTTATGAAGTGCTAATATACTTTCCATTTTATAAATGTGGAGATTAAAGCCCAGAGAGGTTATGTAAATGTGCCTAAAGTTGTTCAGCTATTCCGTGGAGACACCAGCATTTTAATCAAAGTTTCTCCAAGTCCAAAGCCCATGCTCTTCTTTCCTTAGAGCAGATGGCCTTCCTGTAATCAAATCCACCTGCATCAGAACTTACGTACTTGACTCACATAAGCACTCCGGTGGATCCACAGTCAAGAACTATTTGAAAACAATTCAAATTAGCCTGATTATCTGGCGTCCTGTCCTCTTCAAGTAAGAAACTCCTGTGGAAGAGGGTGTAGCGAAAAAGAGGAGAATGGGGACAGGAGAAGATGGACAGGCACACTGAGAGGAGCGAGAGATGAATGCTTTGTCTCTACTCTGGTTTATACAGCTTAACATCCCCTGGAGAACTTACTGTATTATGTACAACAGCGGATGTTCTTGAGGATTTTGTTTAGTGGCCTCCGTATAAGAAGGCAGGGAAGTATATAACACATATTAAAGTAAGACTTTCATCAAGAACAGCCAACCAAACTAAGTCTTGATGCTTGAATGGGGTTAAGTTCTAACAAACAACCTAATGAGGCAAGCACCCCAGTCCTCCATGAGGCTGGATAAAGGAAGCACTGCTATATTGTTAGATTTTCTTATTTTTACTCTTTGACCTTTCTAATCGCCAGGAGATAACTACTTATTCTTAGGACTAAGTTTCTATTCTGCTATTTTAAAATGGATAAAGTATAGAGTTCTACCTAAATCAAGATCTGTTTAAAATATCTTTCTTGTCGGCCGGGTGCGGTGGCTCACGCCTGTAATCCTAGCACTCTGGGAGGCCGAGGCGGGCGGATTGTTTGAGTTTAGGAGTTTGAAACCAGTCTGAGCAAGAGCGAGACCTCGTCTCTACTAAAAATAGAAAGAAATTAATTGGACAACTAAAAATATATAGAAAAAAAAAATTAGCTGGGCATGGTGGTGCATGCCTGTAGTCCCAGCTACTTGGGAGGCTGAGGCAGAAGGATTGCTTGAGCCCAGGAGTTTGAGGTTGCTGTGAGCTAGGCTGACGCCATGGCACTCACTCTAGCCCAGGCAAAAGAGTGAGACTCTGTCTCAAAAAAAAAAAAAAAAAAAAATGTCTTTCTTGTCACAGTCAGCATACTACTGACATAAGGAGGCAGAGGTGGAGCAGCATGGGTGTGTGTGGGTGGTGGCTTTGGAGCCAGACAACCCTGCATATGTATCTTGGCTCTGCTGTTTTACTACAGTATGACCTTGATGAGTTTAGCTTCTTTAACACTTTCTCCAAGTGTAATGGTGAGGCAAGGATACCCACCATTGCTCTTTGGGGAACAAATTCATCTCATCATCTCTTTCTGTTTTCCTTATGCGTCAAGATTAAGGTCAAGGAAGAGGACTGATGGGCTTCCAAACACACCCTGTGGGGTATATTTCTGAGAGGAGCAAAGGGGACAGGATAAATGTAGCATCTTTTTCTATTCCTTCCACAGGCACTGTGAGTTAGGTCTCAAGGCTGCCAAGGGGCTTGTTGACTCTCTTTAGTCTCCTCTTGGATGCTGTTTTCTCTTGTAGTAAGAGTCCAGCCCAAGGCTATTGTTCCACTTTGCGAGGAACAGTGGCTAAAGCCACTGGGCACCAGGCAATGAGACAAACCGACTCTCTGGCTGGCCATCTCTTGCTCACTCTTTTTTCTTTGCTATGGGCAATTGTGCCCTTAGTATCCTTTTCTCAGAAAGCACTAACTAGTTCTGACATTTAGCTTATACTGATAGACTGCTAAGCTTAGGTAAAGGAGTTCTCCAAAGGGTCCAGCCTCCTTTACTAACATCTTTTAAAGGCCTTTGAATGTAGAACTCTAGTTAATAATGAGTGCTGGTTTTCCTTCTTTTGATCATGCATTTCTTTTGGGGACCCTCTAGGAGACAGGCACGGCTGAAGGCAAGATGCAGCCCACTAGCATCGTAATACCATCCTAATAGGAGCCCAGTGACACCTACTTTTCATACTGTTAAGAGGATTAAAGGATACAATGCATAGAAAAATACACCTAGCATATTCCTGACTGTTAAGCGCCAGATAGTGCTCAATAAATGATCATTCTTCCACTATCTTTTCCTTTATTAATTAAAAGATAATGTCCAAAAGAAAGAAACCCAACCCAAATTTGAATGTAGTTTTTCATTTTTCTGCTATTCCTATAGTACAGTGATTCAAACAGGAACTAAATATGATTAACCTAGTATATCAGAGAGCAAGTTTCCTTACAGAAGAGAGAAGATTCTGGAAGTGAATAGTGTGGTATTAAATGTAATCTGCACATGGAATTCCTGGGTCCTCTACTCCAAAAGTTCCTTTCTCCTCCACAAGTTATAAACAATACTTTTGCTTCATTAATCACTTTTTGCTAGAGACCACCAGGAAAAAATACACCATGAAAACACTATGCCAGGTTTATCCCTAGCTTTTTCTTAAATCTTTTCAAATATGAAGCTTTTGAATTCTCAATCTTTCTAATGCTCATATGATTTTTCATGTTTTTTTTTTCCCAAAATGATGGTTTCTCCACACTGTAAATTAATGATGACTATTTATTGGGTATGTACTGTGTTCAAAGTTTTATGGTAGGTGCTTAACATTTAACAACTTTATGAAGTAGGTAAGAGTCTCCTTATTTATTTATTTATTTTTTTGAGACAGAGTCTCACTCTCTTGCCCAGGCCAGAGTGCCGTGGTGTCAGCCTAGCTCAGAGCAGCCTCCAACTCCTGGGCTGGAGCGATCCTCCTACCTCAGCCTCCTGAGTAGCTAGGACTACAGGCATGAGCCACCATGCCCAGCTAATTTTTTTTATATATATATATATATTTTTAGTTGTTTGGCTAATGTCTTTCTAATTTCAGTAGATATGGGATCTCGCTCTTGCTCAGGCTGGTCTTGAACTCCTGAGCTCAAACCATCTGCCGGCCTTGGCCTCCCAGAGGGCTAGGATTACAGGTGTGAGCTACCGTGCCCGGCCAGAGTCCTCTTATCTTATGATGACAAAACTGAGGTTAAGAGAGATGTAGGAACATGTGTAAAGTCACAGGGTTTGAGAATCAAGAATCTGGATATTGCTTTGTAAAATATCTGCACATCTGAAAGGACAGCAATGACATGTCTCCCTTTTCCTCCCCAAATGCACACCAAGTGTAATATACAAGGGAGTCTCCTAGGATCTTAGGAGTCTGTTGGGATTCCCCTTTGTGTACTCATAATGTCAATTCTGACAGGAAAGGAGTTACCCAGAACATAATAGAAGTATATCACACTGCTTTGTTCAGGGTAAAACTAACCAGTGCCACAGCTAGAAAATGTATTCCTGTTCAAGCTTTCAAAGATAGGTCTCTATCAGTGACAGTCTAGTGCAGTAGAAAGGTCCTGGGGGTCAGAAGACCTTGACTCTAGTTTTGGCTTGGTAACTTAGCAGCTGTGGATTTTCTGGCAACTACTCAAGCCTCTTATTTTCTTCATCTATAAGTAGGAAAAATGATAGTTACACATACCTCCAGGGGTTGTTCTGAGAATCCACTGAGATAAGGTTTGTTTATATACTGTCTTATTTATCTATTAAGTTATTTATTGTCTGTTTTTCCTCACTATTATGTAAATTCCATGATATTAGGGAACTAGTCTATATATTTCACCACTGTAGCTCCAGGGCATAGAACATTGCCTGGCAACAGCAAATACTCAAAAAATATTTGCAGACTGAATCAACTGTGTGCATTGTAAAGCATTAAAAAAATGTTGATTACTATTAGTATTATTGCTAAGAATTTTTAAGACATACAAAATAGATTTTTCATTAGAAACTAACTTTTCATAAATATTAGTACTATTAGCCAGACAAGTGAATTCAGGCAGTCAGCATTTAAGTTCAAATGATGATCCTGTTTTCATTTTTTGATGTTTCCCTGGAAATTATTACCAGGTTTTTCCCCACATGATATCTGATATTAGCATTTAAATCACATGAATTGAAAATGGTGAGGCTTCATTTCTTGTTACTAATTTTTGTAACCTCCAAGAAGGTTTCTTGGTTTTGCTGATTATTCTGCAACTTCCAGGTTCTCTCCAGATGTGAAGAAAATTGCTTACTTGGTTGAGACGCTTGTACTTACTTGATGAAGTACTTGATTCCATCTGCTGTGTAAGCTTCCTCCCACCCATAAGGTAAACCTAGAGTGAAAGGAAACCAAAAATACATTTAATAAGATGATGAAGATAAATTTATTTCCTGGACACAAACCTCCCCCATCTTTACAATTATTTTAAGTACATTTCTTATACAAAATAATTTTTCAGAAAGGGAGAATTAAGACAGTTCAGATAAGCTTTCATACTCAGCATCTTTAGAACACAATAAATAAGTCTTGAGCAGTTAACAATCTGCTTTAGTTGCAATAACTGGATTATGACTTGTCATTTACATGTGGTGAACATTTTTGTCAGCAGAATTCAAGCAAAAATTTGTGTTGCAGCGGATGGTTTTTGCCTGGAGGCAGAAGGACGGACAAGATGGCCTCTGCTTGTCTATTCTGGCTCAAAGTTTCTTTAATTGGCTCCCTTTACATTCTTCCACTAAGCTCCACAGGGAATCATACATGAGTGCCAGATCAGCAGGGGTTTGAAAGTAGCTTTTGGACAAGACAAAATTCCTTATTAAGTTTGAAAGTTTAGCAAAGTGATTTACAATGGATTGTGGCATTTTACTTTGATAATTAAGAATTTTGTGCACTAAACATAAACGGCCAAACAATTTGCTAAACTTAGCTTCCATTTCTGTAATGGGATTGAGAATAGTTGGCTCTAAAGAGATGGGGATTGACGTAAGCAAGCAATACTTGGCTATATTTCTGTAAAGGAGTACATTTTGGCCTTGATCATTTCAAGAGATCAGCCTCATGTTGAGGAAGCCACATTCTCTTATGTTCTCATTTGGGCTGGTACCCCTCTAGAACACAATGGTTTCCACCCCTCCGCTCCATCCCTGAGTACTGCTAAGGATTTTAATTGACCTTTTGGATCAGTTCTTTGACACCGGCTTACCATGGATCAAGTAGCCTACTTCTTTGGAAAGTAACTGAGCTTGAACAAAAAATCACCGACTTTTATTTCCCCAAGTCTTGGCGAGGGGCACAGCAAAAGTGCAGGAAGAGTAACTTCCTGAATGAAATAAACCCTTACTCTATCCACATTTGTTTGTTAGAGAATAGTCTTTGAGGAGCAGCTCTAAGGATGTTGATTTATTTTGTAATTAAGAAAAACAAACAAACAAAAAAAAACAAGCTTTGCTGTATATTTATTTCCAGTCTTTTAACAAAAGTTGTATAAAATAAGATCTTGGGAAAAATTCCGTATTATTTTCTTTCTATTCTCTCGTCGTGAATGCATGTTCCTATTCTAAGTAGAAAACAAGCACTTCTGAGAACTCAGCATAAGCAAATGACTGGAGTCTCAGGAGCTCTTGAAGTGACTCTCTACATACATCTCCTCTAGTGCCCACGGCTGACACATGCTTAGCCAGACAGGTCATGACAAACTGCTGCTGCGCCACCAGTTCAAGTGGATTTATTTTCTGTCTTCACACTTTCTGTATCTTTTTTATAGATCACTTCATTCATCACTGACAAGTGCCTCACCTGCAGGCAAGAATCTGATGACTGCACATAAGAACCTTGCTTTCATGACAAAAATGTTCAGAAATACCAGGATTTCTGATCAATAAGCAAAGATAGCTAAAAGTTAAGTACAAAATTATTCTAATATGACTTTTTGTCTAATAAGTGACTTATCTGTCTGACCAGCACAATTACATCTATCTTCTAATTTCTTTAATTCATAGATATTTTTTAATAAAAAGGAAAGAAAAATGTATACTTTAAAGATAGTATCTTTTAATCCACAGGATCATTTGAAAATTGATATTGACATCAGATTACCATATCCCCTGTGCCATCAGAATAGAATTTCTGCCTTAATTATTTCCTTACAATTAGTAAACAAGAATTATAACTTCACGACAGACTTATAAAGTTACTAATTCATACGTATTTAAGTCACAAAGGTTATTTAAGGAATATAGGCATAAAGATATCCCTGCGTATTGAATTTATACGTGTATATATATATATATAGTTTATTTTAGGATACATTCTTTGTTCTGAGAAAATGTTTCTTTTTAGGAGATTGAATAGTTGCTTATTTTTCATGCAGTTAATATAACCTGCAAAAGACAGACTTTGAGACTACACTGAAAGTACTTAATCATTTAGTGATAGTCCAGTAATAGAAAACACAATCGCTCTCCAATTATCAACTGAAAAACACAAATAGCTTATTTTATACAAAAAGAACACTTGATTTCCACAAGGTAATATGATTATGATAGACTCAGTTTTCCATTAGTAAAGGCTTTCATTTCTTTATAATAAGTGATTTGGATGTAATTATAATTTTATCTAAATACATTTTAATAATTATTGCTCCAAATATTAACATATTTCTACATTTCCCATATTTTTATACTTGTAAATATATAATGCTTCTATTTTTCCTTTTCTTTTCATATATTTTTTAAAACTGTTATGATAACTATAACCACCTGTAATTTGTTTCTGATTGGAAGTGTTTGTCTGTGAACCCTCACATAACATTCTTTCCATCAGAGATCATCTGTTTCCAATCAACAACTTTATGGTGATGACTCCAAAATCTGCATGAGTATCATGCCAGAGTAACAGCCTTAAACATATTCATCTTAGAATACTGGCTGTCACCTAAAACTCAACATATCCAAAACCAAACTCATCACATTTCCATACAAATAGTTTCCTTTCCAATTTTTTGGTCTATTTACGTACCAAAGATTCTCTTTGTCATATTTAGCCCATGTATTCATCCACTAACATTTATTGATTATTCATTATCTGGTCAGCATTTTTCTAGATGCCCAATATACAATGGTAAACAAAAACACATGGACCTTGATCTTCTAGAGCTTTAAAAAAGAATCATAAATCAAGACATCATTAAAATTAGGAATAAGTACTATGAAGGAAAGTATGGAATACAATGAAAAAGTAACTCATAGCATAAAGGCGAAACTCCCGAATACATAAAGAACTCCTGAAAATCAACAGAAAAATATCAATGACAACAAAATAGGAAAAACATATGAAATATTTAGGACACAGGAAATACAAATGCACTTAAACATATGAAAATAAGCTTAACTTCACTCTTAATAAGAGAAGTAGAAATGAAACTATTATGACATGACATATTCATCTATCAGATTAACAAAGATTAAAAAGTAGTTTAATAAGATACAATGTTGAGAGTGTGAAGAGATAATCGTTTTCATACTAATGAAAGTATAAAACACATTTATAAGGAGAAACTTGTCAATATCTATTAATATCTAAAACCTTAAATGCTAGTAATAATAAAAGTTGATATTTATTGAGTGGTTAGGTGCTAGACACTGTTTTAAGCACCGTAGGTGTACCAGTTTACTCTTCCCCACTATGAATCTATGAAAAGTACTGCTGTTATCCTTATTTAGGAAATGAAAGAACTCTTTACTACTATGCTGAAGTGTCTCCACGTGCAGCATAACCCAGCAATTCTTCTAGGAACTTATTCTCTAGATATGCTTCATGTACAAGATTGTTAATTGTAAAAACAAAAGATTGGAAATAATATAAATAACCATCAATGGGGACTGATTAAATGAGGAAGTAATTTATGTACCAATTTGGATGGGGCGGTATGTGTGTAGGGTCAAGGAAGGATCTCTGGAGGAGCTGGACTTATCCAGGCACAGACCTGGGGAAGAACATGCTAGGTAGAGTGAGTAGCATCTGCAAAGGCCCTGGGATGGGGAAGAGCTTGGCACATTTGAAAAACTGAGAGAAGATCACTGTTGCTGGAGCATGGTGAGGGAGCGAGGCAGGGAGCGATATAAGATTTAGCTGGAGAGGCAGGTAAGTACGACTATGCAAGGCTTTACGGGTCATGTTGAAACTGTTTGGAAGTTTCTTAAAAAGTGAAGCGGGAGATCTGCATCTGTTTAAGATGAAGAAAGCTGCAAGAGATTGTTGGTCCCACCATACATGGAGGAAAAGCCGCATAATCCAAAATAAAAAAAAAATCTTTTTTTGTGTGTATGCTCCTTAGAGACTTAGTTCCTCACTTGAGCTGCTCCTCAGGTGAACCGAGTTCCAAAGGATGCCAAGCCCCTCTGGGGAAAGATGAGGCACACAAATTCTTTTTCCCTTGGCACAGCACAGACGCCTTTGTTTCTTTGTGGGGGGAGGGGGGCGTAGAAAACCTGACATCTTCACCCTGCAGTGACATTCGGTAAAAAGTGACCTGCCACTGGGGGGCAAGGATAGCAAACCTGTTCAAATTCAGAATCTTGCACTAATACAAAGCGGAGTTTGACTTCCACAAGGAGAGGGGAAGGAAGCCCACTTGAGCACCAGTGAGTAGGAGGTAGAATTGTTTGCCACTGGGGAAGGGCAGGGAGGCTGAGAAAGTCCCACCTCTGAGACTCAGGTGCACAGGGCCTGCCTAAAATAGAGACTGGAGTAGGAAAACCAGGAGCCTCTCCGCCACCCTCCAAAACCACTACTAACCTTGCACTGAGTAAAACTCAACAGCCTTCTACAGCTGGGGGAGGGCAAGAGCGCCAACATTAAGCAGCCACTGTGATGCAGGTGTGGAGAGCCTGCTGGCAGCTCAGGATAGAATAGGAATACTAAGAAAAAACCTCCAGCACTCCAGACCTCACCTAAGCACAAGAGAGTGGCAGGGCAGATCACCACTGGAGAAATTTGAAGTCTGTGATGAACTCCAGGTATAGAGACAAAAAAATACAAACCTAGCCCAACTACAAACGAGATGGAATCAACCTCCTACCTAACAGCCTGACAGAGAAGAGACATGCTCATTTCTGGATTTAAATATTATTTATCTCAGCCTCTACAATTTCCTGTATTCAATGAATGGCATTGAATCAAATTATGAAACACATAGAAGAGCTACAGGAAAAACACACACACAAACACACAGCCAAAAGATAAAACCACTAGCACAACCAGATCCAAAGATGGACAAAATGTTGGACTTTAGCTAACTGTAATTTATACATTAAAAGATCTAGTGAAATCTAG